TCTAATTAGGAGGAGAATAAGTGAATAAGCCAGTACACCTACTTCCCGAAAGGGGTTTTAGAGTACTAAAACAATAATTAGCAACAAAGTTGTACTTGAACAAACAAAACAGAAAGTTATGCCCCAAATTTCACGTTGCACATTCCATAATCTCTATGTTTCCAAATTTTAGTTTTACCGGTTTGATTAGGGAGATAAAATTCCACCTGCATAAGTACACCATTAACTACTGTGTAGAAATGTTCTTTTTCTTCTAAATTACTGGTCTTTGTTATTTGGAATATATTTTGAACTGTTTGTAGATGTGAGATTCAATGCTAGTCTAATGCATTTCTAAGGTTTCAAGGAGATGATTCTAGAATTTTCAATTCATTACGATATACTTGTTGTGTCATTATTCACATATGGTCGTATTATTGCATTCAAAAGTGTGAGCTAATAGTCAATGATGTGAAATGGATCAGGACTTAAATTACAATAGAGACAATACGTTATTCGGTACCTATAGCTAGTGTTAGGTAGCAGATAGTTGATGGAATGTTTGAGGTTGAACTACCCGTATAATTAGATGCCTATAAGAAGAAAGGGAACAAAGTATAAGTAAAATAGATACGACGGTGGGAACATAAGAGGAAGTTTGATTAGGCAGGTTGACAAAAGAGGTGTGATTCAAATTGTGTGGTGGAAAGCTGGACAGTGCATTGTAAGCTACCAATGAGATGAGGAAAAGAGATGTGAATTGAACAAGTGTAGACAACTTAGACCAATGATTCTGAGGTTCAATTTGTTCTTCTTTTCCACCTTTTTAAGGAATATGCACACTTAAGACAGTGATTAGTAACGATTGTTTATTGAAGCTTGAACAGTCTCAGCCATAAACAAAAAAGATATAATTAATGCATGTTTGATGGCTACAACAATACTTTGAACACTTGTTTAACAAACTGCTAAAAGGGTCCATCAACATTTGCTTTGTCTTTGCTAATTTAATCAAACTTTTTTTTCTGTGGCTTGTGATATCTGAGGGTTGTTAAGTGCAACATTGATGTTGATTGTCTCCTCATATTAAATGCTAGCCAATGAAAAAATGTCTACAATTGTTTGTACGGTGGTACTGAATTTGTCCTCGGTTTTCGCGTTCATGTGTGTGAATTTTTCAAATTGTAATTGCTTGAAATGTCTTCTCGTAATGGCATAAAATGTAGCAGAAGAGTACCCCAGTTGAACATGAATGCATATTTAGGTAGGTACATATTGGGACACCGACTTTAAATGATGTCTCAAGAATATTGTTTTTGGAAAAGTCACCATTTTGTTATATACTCTATGAGGAAATTGTCTGTTTTAGATTGTTGACTCAATCAATTTTAAGCTCTTTGAGTACTTACCATTACTATTTTTCTCATATGCTGGCGGTGAAAGCTTTTACTATATACTATATACCTCTTCTTGTAGCTAGTCTTTTTTCATAAATTCCAAAAATTCTAAATCATAAATGCATCTTCAAGAAAATAAAACAATAATAAACAATACGTTGTTTTTTTTTCTCCAGAAAACATAATACAACATTTTGGTCTCTTTATATGGTTTTAGATATATAATCTTCACCTTTTGAGTCTAAGCTTTTTGCTCAATGCCCATATCTCTATTACGGTGAAGAGTAAGATGTATTCCAATTCGTTATTTATTCGTTGTTGGACACCAATTTTATATTGTTCACGGTTTAAATGTTTAGTCATGGGCGTTCCCGGCATGTTGAGTCCCATACCGGTGGGTCAAAGATATTTGTTCTTGGGTCATCCTTGCCTGTTAAGTTGACTTTTGATGTTGAGTTAGATTCTTGTCCACACATAGGGCTGAGGAATAAAAGAAAATATGCTTAGAAATGTAAAATCATGATCGTACTGTAATTTCTTATTAGTTCTCTCTTTAACAATTCGATTGTCTTATTTTTCTTTTTATTTTAGTCCGTTAAAAAAAATGTCTCTTTCTCTTTTAGTTTTGACTTTGCACATGGCATTGTTTTATAAGATTACAACATTGAAGAATATGTTGGTACGTTGTATGTATCTTTAGCTTAAACTTACAAAATTCAAAATTATATTTTACTTTCTTAAATTTCGTATCAAATCATAATCAGACAAATACTAAATTAAAACGGAGGGAACACGTGTTTTCATATTTAGAGGAGAATGATAAAGGCAAAATATGAATGCAACCAAAACACAAATTACATAACTGCTGACAATTAATGAGCAGTCATACTTAATTAATGATCGATAATGCATTACACATGATGGATTCCATTTCATCAGATAATTACAACAGAAAAACCAAATAGACAAAAATCTAACCTAAGAATCTAAGGAACTAAAAGTATTAGTTCAGTCATTAGAAAAAAAAATTAATTTATTTTTTAATAAATCTTACTTTTGATGATAAAAGATGATTTGAGATATAATTGCTTATTTTGTTAATAAAACTGTTCACATGTCTACCATTGTCTCCCTTTTAATCTCACTTTGTCTTCAACTGACTCATGCGTCCCATATAAAAGTAAACAAACTTAGTATTTGGACAAAAATTATATATTTAATTTTTCATATTACAATTCTAAAGTATTATTAATTAAATTGATTGATAAGTTATAGGAATATGCTCATACTGGTCTGGTCCTACAACCATGTGCTTCAAAAGGATGTGTCTTTGTTAAATTAGATTATCACATTATCATATCAAAACCTTTATTGATTATATCATTGAAACTAATTAATATTATTCTTGATAATAATTAATATAAGGATCGAGACCTTTTTCTTTTTCTAAGAGAAAGTAACAATAAATTAATGGAATAATATATATGGTTAGTCCAGGAATTAAATTTGGAATTTTGGCAGAGTAGATAAAACAACTCTTAACTAATATTAGCCTATATAAAATCTAATATAATTAAATCTATGGAAAAAATACAAGAAAATTAAAAGGTGCCACATAATTAGCATTTTGAAAGAGTTCAATTTTTTTCTTTTTCAAAATAATGTGACACCTTGATTGTGATACATTAGCAAAACGTTATAAGCAGAATAGTAGTAAACGCGTTAGAAGATGAAAATTAACCCAAAACTTCCATTGGAAATTAGCTATCAATGTCAAAGTAGAATTACAAAGTTTTCTAGTTTTTTCTAGAAACTATTCTTGATAATTTCCCTTGTACTAAAAATCAAACATAAGATATATTGTAATAGTAATTAAGAGTTTAAGTTTTATACTGTAAAAAAAAATTAAAAATATCATACTATCAAATCACACGAGCGATAATTACAGATAATGTCTAAGATAAATGTGAATTAATTATCTAAAATATATAAGATAAATTATAATAGGTTAATATACATCGATAATACAAAAAATATTTTTCGAATATAAGTTTAAAAGTGTAAACGTGAAACTGGAGAAGTCGTTAGCGGTCAATCTAGGTAGTCAAATCTATTTGTTACTTAGTTGTTGGTAATATATATGTGCAAAACCATACAGGACATCTTTGACAAAAAAAAATTAATTAAAAAAATAAAAATAAAAATTGAACCGTTGATTAATATCTAAATGCTTCGTCATTTATACTCTTAGATATGCAGTTAAATCAAACATACAACAATCACATTGATTATATTTAGAAACTATATAAAAGATAGGCTTAACTCATCTACGGCCCCTTAAAATTGTCCGCATAATTCACTTGGACACCTCAACTAGGACTCGTACCTATTGAACACCTAAATTGTTCAAAACATATACCTATTAAACACAAAATGCTGATGTGGCGAAATAAGTGTAACTCACTGCAGCTAGCGCGTGAATGGATTTTTTAAAAAATAAATTAGTGCTTACTTTCTTGACACTTGGCATGTATTAATTAAATAACAAAAAACTTATTTAATTAAACATTTATCTCTTTATTTATAAAAGAAAATAACCCCACACCCATGTACAAGTCCTCTTCTTCTTCAACCCACCATTTTAAAGACTTCAAATTCTCAGCCTTTTGTTTTGTTCTTCTTATTTTTTCCCATTTTTCGTTATAATCAAACTAATTGAATTTGCAAAAAGAAGAAAAAAAAATCGGACCATTGAAGTTAAAAAGTTAGCCGACATTCATGCATATCTATTTTCAATAACTCCGTTCAAGCAACCTTCACCATTCATTAAACTTATTAAAAATGGTATAAAAAATTGATATTCTTTTGATTTCTCTTCATCGTCGATTTTGAATTAATTTATCGACATCGATTATTTTCACAAAAATCTCAATAATCACAGGAAAAATAGAATACAATAGGTGACAAGGGAAGGAAGAAAAAGGCAAAAGTTTAGGTGGGTGTATTAGGATAGGGTGGGAGATAATTTTTTTTTTTGTTATCGTTGAGGAATTGATGGTGGAGTGATAGGGAAGAAGAAGAAGAAAGGACAATGGGTTAAGTGGGGGGAGGAGAAAATTTCTTTTTTATTCTTTTTTCAATTTAATTTTTCTAGATTATTAATGGCTGGAAATATTTTTCATTTTTCAAAATTAAAAATTTGGACCAATGTGTCACGTGTCGTAATTTTATTCATGATTTTTTCAAGAAAATGTGTGTGAATTACACGCACAATATTTTTCAAGCTAATTGTCATTTTATGTTCAATAGATAAATATTCGTTAATATTAAAGTGTCTAATAGGTAAGAGTCCTAGTTGAGGTGTCTAAGTGAATTATGCGGACAACTTTAAGGGGCCGTGGATGACTTAAGCCTAAAAGGTATTATAAGTTAAATGAATTTTCAGACGTTAAAATAAAATGTACTACATTTCAGAAATTCATTGTGTATTTTACTGTCGATCTATTTGTGTAAGCTCAAAGGTCTTATTACAATATTATTTACAATTGTCGATGTATATAAGTAATCGATGAATTATAATTGCTTGAAAATAAAAAGGAAATCAGAAAAATTGATAGTATTGAATTTGTATAATAATAACAATAGAAACAAGAGATTTAATTTCCACGGGTGCAGAATCCACACCACTGATGAAACTGACAACAATAAAGTAGATGAAAAACCAAATATACAAACCCAAAAAACTCCACAAGAGTTTATAATATATGGGAATATCCTTTTGTCAGTGAAATAAAACCTATTTACTTATAATAATAATAAGTAATAACCTAATTAATTAAAATCTCTCATCATATGATAGAGACAAAAAAAAAAAAGATAGGAACATTTTTTCATCTAAACATTGAAATAAGTGAACAAAAATCATGTTCATGACAAGGAATAGTAATGCCCATATCATGACTAAATCCAAATTCTTCTTCAGCTCTTTGAAGCAAATTTTGAAATTGAGGATATGTTAACCAAGAAATAGGAATTATATATCTACTTCTATTTTCTCCAACATAAACAACAAAATGTCCTTTTGGAACATCATGAGGGAAACCATTCTCATTTTTTCCAAAGCTAGAACATCTTTTGATCAATTGTTTCAAAGCTGCTGTTTGTTGTTTGCTGCTACTTGTTTTCTTTAGACCCATTTTTTTTCTTTTGTTGTTTAGAAAGAGAAATATATTGAATGTGAGGAAAAAAAGAGAGGAAAAAAGGAGTATTTATGGAGTTGAAAAATGAAAAAACATAGGCATGTGGAGGGAGTGGGGACAAAGAAACTGAATAGGTAATGGGATGGTTTATTATGGGTACGTTTGTACGAGGACATTGAGGGCCTCTTTACTCCCTCCCATTGGTCTTCTACCCTACCTACACACATTATACTAAACAATCTAGCCAGCTAGATCAATACATACACTCACCACATAATTTTCTACTACTAAAGTTTATTACGATTTGTGATATACTTATCGATTAGATATTTATGGTGATGTATATATCATATCCATCAACATATTATGTAGTACTAAACGTATGAATTGTACGGGTAAATTTAGAATTACTGGTGTTTTCTGTCATGAGTTGCATTTATCGGAATTTCCAGGGATCCACTAGCACTTTGCAGAGGCGTATTCAGGAGGGGGTCATTGGGTTCACGTGAATCCATGCCCCCACCCGAAATCATATATAGTAGTGTTATATTTTTTAATTTTTTGTAAAATATATATAGATGTGTGAACCCACACACAAAGTATCATATAATGTGAGGATGATTGGGTGCACCTCTTAGTGAGGTTAGGAATTTGAATTTTATATCTATCTTGTTTTATTTTTCTTTTTAAAATTGGGTAACACCTCTCTAAGTGGTGGTTATTGATAGCACTTTTGGCATTATAATTAATTAAGCATTTCAATTTTGAACCTACAGTTTTAAAATTGTAACTCTTTTCAATGATAAGAACTTAAATGTCAAACCGATTAGATCCACCTTTTCATAATAGTGCACACATCATCCCGAAATCCTGAATACGCCTTTGACACTTTGGAGCCAATTAGTTCCAATACAAAAGTTATTTTTGTATTTAAGTGGGGTTAAAAGTTAAATAATGACAGGCAAATAATCTGTTTGTATAGATCATTCTCGATTTTTTTTCTTGGATTAAAATGAGCAGGTTAATTATAGGAAATTACCTCCAATGACCTTAAAAATGAGTTATTTTGAACTTTTGATCCTCACTTGTCCATGAGTAAACCTTTAAAGTTAAATGTTAAAAATATTGCTCATTAATCAAAATTTGTTAAACTTGAAATTTTACTCTAGCAAACGGATCAAAAGCAAGGTCGTCTTCCAAATCACCCGGTCAATTTGGCTACGTGTCCAATGACATTTCTCATTTGTTTCTTTTATGATTTGTATAAATCAAACTGATAAATATCCTTTTCCTTTGTCATGATTATCTCAAACAAACCAAACACAAATATAATTTTCTATATATTATGATAACTATTTTACAGGTCAATTGGGGCTAATATTAATGCAGACCAAATGGACCCAAACTTTAAATGAACTAGCTTAGGCTAATGAACATATACATAACCCGGTAACCGAATCAATATATTCCATGTCTTGATATCACATTTTTAATACTCTTTGTAAAATGTCCCTTAAGCTATAACGATATTAAATCTAATGACAATTCACTATAATGCTGGTAAATATTAACATTTTTTAATTTGCTAATATGTATATTTATTATCGTTAAAAGTTATTTTTGTTGTTTTATGAAACATTATATTCCTTGTGCCAAAGTGATTTCACACACACATGTTAAATGCAATGTAATTTACTCATGATCAGGAACTTTTAAGCAGAAAATTAAGGAGACATCAATCAGTTAATTAGTTGTAAATTAACGTTGTCTTAATTAAACAATATAATAGTATTGACAATATAGGAATAAAATGTATATGCATGGCTGTAAAGTCAAATACTGGGGGCTTCCAATTATAAATAGTAGTCAAGTTCTGCTAAAAATGGCCACTTTGAAAAAGTGGACAACATTGAAAGAAATGCAAAGAGTAAGAATTATAACTGATAAAATGTCGATGCCACTTTAAGTGATTCAAATTCGTTGCACTTAAAAGTCAAAAGATGTAGGTTTAATTATTATTTCCTCCCGTCTCAAATTATCTGTCATAATTTCTAAAGATAGTTCTTACAAATTATTTATCGTTTTAAAAGTTCAAAATAAAATGAGTTATTTATTCTCAATTTATCCTTAAGAGTTATTGTTATTGAAGATGACATGTAGGGTTATTCATCAAGACTAATAAAAGGTAAAATAATTTAAAATTATACCTTAATAATGTTTCTTTAAGAGGCTTGTAAAAAATCTTTTTAAAGTGGAACTCTGTGACTATAATATCCAAACCTATGGTTTATGTTCGTAATTATTGGAGTGTAACAATTTTCTAACAAGTAATATTTTTTTCATATCATTTGAGTAAGGGAAATGGTACGAAATAACAAATTATTAATTCAAATTAAATGTTTTAGCTATATTTTATTTTATTTGTAATTCGCAGCAAACATTTCATTTTTTTTGTCATCTGGTTTGATATACAATTACCCATTCAGTATACAAATGTCTAAAATGTATAAAATGTGTTTGTGTTTGTATAAAGCAAGAAAAAAGTGTATATACAAATACAAATACATATATTTTCGTCCTATACACTTATAATTATACAAATACAGATCTTATTATATAAATTACAATGTATAAATGAATTTATACAAAACTGAACAATTTGTATAAAATTGGATGTATCTAGCGAATTATACAAATCAAAAGCTCCATAGCAAACATAAAATTTGTTATGGAGCGCAATTATACAAACTATAGCTATAACATATAAATATGATTTTTATGTTTGCTATATGTGAAGTTATTCTTTGAGTAACGACAGAAACTAATATATGTCATTTTCATTTTCTGTCAAATATCAAATGTATGGTACTTCTAAATATTATTAAATACGCTAGAATGATTTGTCACTAACTTAAGAACCCGCGTTTTGCTAATTTCTATATGAGGGATAAGATGTATTTTTGAATTGTTTCCTTTTATAAAAGAATTTATTTCATATTTAAACAAAATATTTTTAGTCGAAAGGAAGAAAATAATTTGCATCCCTTATAAATGAGAGGAATCATTTTTCTTTAAAATACTTCGATGCTTAAAAATTGTTATTGAGGTAATATGAATATATGATAATATTTGTTTACACTTTATCTTATTTAAATCTTATTTATGAGATTTTATTAGATATGTCATTGTTATTATTTAATTATTATTAATCTTTAATTAACGAAGTAGTAGAAGTACCGGCCTCCTATGGATCCAACCAAATATTGGAAATCCCCTTAGGGTATTTTCTAACATAAAGCATTTTCCTATACATACAAAATGCACCATATATATTCAGCATGTAACCAAATTAAATGATCCAAAAATTCCAAATACAGTCAAATTTCGTTCGCTTTACCAATAGTTTCTTATGATAATCTGATTTTGTTTTGAAATTGATTTTTCATGTTATATTTTACTTTATAACTGATTTTCATTATATAAGTACCAGTAAAATTATTCATCTATAATAATTATATTTAAATATTATAAAGAGTATTTTGTAAGAAATATATTATGTATAAAAATAAAATATTTATAGTAATCATTGTATTTAAATAATGCCCATTATATATATATATATATATATATATATATATAGACTACTCATGTTTGCCTTATATTTATATTCATATTCTTTCTATTTTTTCGCTTAAATTAGTTAACAAATGCTTTCTTTCTTCTTGGTATACAAAATCATTACACAATTTTTTTTTTACTTTTACTTATAACAACTAAATAAGATTTAAACGTCAAATATCAATATACATGTATAACATCACCTCACTTTCCTAAATTTCTATTACACTTTATACAAAAGTGTCATATGTTTCTTTAGGGGTGTAAATGGATCAAGTTGGTTCGGATTTTTTAAATATCAAACTAAACCATTTATGTCGGATTTTTAAATCTATAAATCAAACTAAACTAATAACATTCAGGGTTTTTAACCTCAGATTTTTTCGGGTTTCACGGGTTTTTGAGTTTTTCCGGTAAAGTATTCATACAAACATATAATTAACTTGTCTTTCAATTTTTTCTTTAGTCTTACCAAAATATAATTATCTAAGGTGTTTCTTAAGAAAATAATACAAAATATGATGAGTGATGATACTAAAATATTCAACAAAAATAATAATGAAATCACATAAAACAAATATTGCAAATAAATAAGTCAAAATGAAAATGATCATAATTTTAAGATGCTAAATCATGCCAAAATAAGTCTAATAAGTATTAATTATATGACTAAACATTAAAGAAAACTAAAATTAGGTATAATATTCTAATTATCTAAACCAATATATAACTAAGGACAAATATTCAACATTATTGTCATACTTAGTATTTGAGTTGATTTTTTGTTAACAATAATATTGATTTGAGCTTCATTAGAATTAATAATAAATATGGAATATACAATTTATAGGACTATTCAAAATTTTAAGTCAAACTTGAAATAATATGTTAAAAGATAAAAATTATGAAAAAGTATAAGAAATATTTATAAATTATATGAAAGTAAATACTTTTATGTATAAAATAATTTTTAAAAATTAAAAATATGTTATCAAGTTGGTTTGGTTGATTTTTTTTTTCTCAATTTACAATTTGGTGTGATTTTCGATTAGATTTTGTTCACCTGTGTTTCTCCCGTTCTTCCTTTTTGAAGAAAATTAAGTGATTTTATCTCTCATATGTTTAGAGACAATATGATACTCCCTTTCCCTTCTTAATCACAATTATATTCTAATTATTCTTTATTTTATATTTATTTTTAGTTGGTAAATGAATTTTATAAGTGTTCAAAAATCAAACTCAATACATTATTCAGATAGTATTAACATTAGCATCGTATATTCATATGGCACCGGCACGTGTCCCTAATAATCAACGAAGAAATACTAATATTTTAGGTTTAACAAGATGAGCTACAATATGGGTTGACATTGCCAATGGTGGTAGATTAAAGACAAGTC